GTCAACCAGTGGCATGGTTTTTGGACACTTTTCAAAGGTACCAGACGTTGGAAACGCCTCTCACTACAAAGCCAAAAACATTAAGAAGTCACTTCCTGAAAAATCAACCATGGTGAGATTCGATCCCTGGTTTCATGGTCGGAAACCGAACGTTCTAACCACTAAGCTATACTCAGTAAATATCTACACCCCTGTGTTACACACACACACACACACACACACACACACACACACACACACACTCGATTACACGCACAGACGCTAGCAAACATAAATAACCAACAAAGAAAGCTAAGCCGTGTGTTTATAATTACACGGTAAATATATTCAGCGGTCAAGTTATGCTAATCACAATGTAATAACACATTGCTCTGTTGCAAAATAAGACAAAAATATTCACAGTCGCCTTAAGCAGTCACTTTCGGCCGGGATGAAAAACAGTTGCCATTCATACGACTTCTCCTCGAGGTTCCATTTGTACAAAACGCACACATAGACACAAAGCGTATAATCTTTAAACGAACTCAGACTGTTATTTAAATATGACAAAGTATTACATCCACCAATTTTGCACGCAAAACTCAAATTATCGATCGCTGCGATTTGTTCGGAGGAGACAGAATTAGGCTAGGTCCGTCCGGAAAGTATCCAGCCATTTGATTTCTTTTTTTTTTTTTTTTGTATTATGTCCCTTTATAACTGTGGCGACGAAGAAGGAAAAAAAAAAAAACAAGTCTTAAATCGAAAAATGATCGCTCTTTCTACGCTATCTGTCAAAAAAGAAAATCCGAATGAAGATCGGTTCTACTTTGGTCTGTCTCGGAAAATGGTGACTGTTTGCGCTTTCATACCAATCTCAAACAATCACAACCTTTGTTACCCTTAATAAAAGAACGCTACTTTTTGACGACAGGGCGATTTCTTGGTTCTTCGAGGGTTAAGACAGTTGTGAGTTACGAGTTTTGAGATACAGATTTTTGACACTTTTGGATTTACACCTCCGGCATTTTGACTTTAGTCTTACAAGACTGATGTATGACTTTTGGAATTACGATCCCGAGGTCTTATTTTGGGATTTGAACCTCACCCATTACTATTTTGTTATAATAATTCTTAAAATTATTTGTCTTCTTTACTAACCATCCCATTTCCAGTTCTACGATCCATTTACATCTTTAGATTGGTTACTTGTTGCTACCCTCTTCCTCCACTAATGTAAGTGAACATTGAATTCAACACTTGGAGGAGACAGACTGTTTCATGCTAGACGCAATCGTCAGGCCACCCTTTTATATTTACACACGCTCTATCTCTGATGTTGAGCACTTTATCTCATAAATGTAGCACACCTTAAAAGTATATATATATATATTGTCGAGAAACAAACAAACTCATATGACCTGATGATTACATCTAGCATGAAACAGCCTGTCGCTTCTGAGTCTTGACTTCAATGTTCACTTTTATATTTACATACGCTCTATCCCTGATATTGAGCACTTTATTCCATAAATATATCACACCTTAAAACTATATTTCTTCATATATATGTGCGTGTGTTTGTGTGTGTGTGTTAAAGATGATTTTAAAGAATCGTGTTTTATTACAATATTCGATTCTATCAAGGAGATATCCTGTGAGTGTCAAATTTTCCAAGCTTCCCTTTCTTTATTTTGTGTCCCAGAAATTACAACAGTATCTTTCTGATTCTAATTATGAGCGTCCTTTTTGTTTCCATTCTCCTTCCATTCTCACTACTTACAGGCCCTGTCCATAGTATTCTCAAAATCCTTCTGTAGAACCGCATTTTTCTTGCCTCAAGTCTCCATCTCATCTGTAAGGAAATTGTTCAGCATTCACTATCATATAGAAGGACAGATCCTAAGTAGTATTTCAACACCCTTGTTTTTGTTTCTAATGAAATTTTCCTGTTTCATAACACTTTGTTTAGCATTTGGAAGGCATAGATTGCTATTTCAATGTGCCAATTTTCAACTGAAATTTTCCTCTCTAGAATCTATTATACATTTATAAGTTTTAATATATTTTATTGTTATACGTTATTCATATATACACAAATAATTAAGTAAATGCTCTGTTTATAATAAACGGCATTAACATTTAACGGCTTGAACATCCGGGATATAGCCTGACGTGCTATACCAGTTTAGCTACAAAGGAGTGTCTGGTTAACAAAGTCGATTTTACTGCATTTAAACTACAAACTTCTCATGGTTTCTTAGACGTTCAGGCTGGTAAATGTTGTTAATACTGTTTATTATAAATTATTATTAAATATTTCTGTATATAAATAACGCATAAGAATAAAATATATTACAATAATTGTCGATAGATAACATATCTATCTATATATCTCTATCTCTCTCTCACTCTCCCTATATATATATGTGTGTGTGTGTGTGTGTGTGTGTGTGTGTGTGTGTGTGTGTGTGTGTGTGTGTGTGTGTGTGCTAAAGATAATATCTTTATGCAGATTACCGCTATCCTGCATTTACGAGGGTCAATCAAAAATTATACGCACCTTCGCCATAGCATATCTTTGGGTTTGCCACACTGACTTCTGCTCATGCGTGCTTATAGTTGGTACTATTGTAGTCACATGATCGCGGTTTGATCATCATCGCGCCAGTTTTCTTGCTGCTGTTACAATATAAACATGTTCGCTCCGCTAGCAGTGTGCACCAAGGAGGAACAAAGAGTAGTCATCCAATTTCTCTTGTCGAAAGGTGTTTCAGGGGCTGAAATTTATTGGAAACTTTTGACACAATACGTCAACAGTGCACTACCGCCTAGAAGTGTGTATGAATGGACTGAGAAGTTTGAAAGTGGCCGGACAAGTGTGACGCACGAAGAAAGTGCTGGACGCCAGTCGACCTGCACCAGTGATAAAACGATTCAGCAACCTCGAGAGATGGTAATGGCAAACCGGCGAGTTATCATCGACGAGGTAGTATGTTCACGGCAGATTCGAATCACTGCTCTCTTTGTTCCTCTTTGCTGCACACTGCTAACAAAGCGAACATGACTACACTGTAACGGTAACAAGAAAACTGGCGCGTTCGAACGCAAACTTCGATCACGTTGACTTCAATAGTACCAACTATGAGCACGCATGACCAGAATATATATATATATGTGAGGTGCCGCAAACGTTTTTGGTTGTAATGTGGATCTATTTAGAAAAAAATATTATGCTTTTTTTTTTACATAATTTTACTACACGTGGTTCTGGTCTCGTGACCGTCTTCAGGTAAAAGCGGAGATTTCCACATATTATTAAAAATAATTATTTTTTGCTTTTGTTTTTCAATGTTAATTATTCTCCATATGAGACATTTTCTGTGTTAGCAATCCGAATTTCTTTCTTGAATTCAAGAAAGAAATTCGGATTACTAACATAGACCAGAAACACGTGTACAATTATGTAAAACAAAGCATAATATTTTTTTCTAAATAAATTCACATTACAACCAAAAACGTTTCTCTTCTTTTTTAATATATACTACATACTTTTCTCTCGTTGGAACCACTACAAACCTCTTCTTTTATATATATATATATATATATATATATATATATATATATATATATATATATATATATATATATATATATATATCTGTATATTTTGGCAGCATACTTTCATTTAAACATTTCTGATTAAACAATTTAGACATGTTGTGTTTGTTTATTTTCAATAATATCCTTTCGTAATCACGTATAAGCTTTGTTGTTTCATGATTAAAGAGACCAAAAAAGGTATAATGGTTATATTTATTCATTTTTATTTTTATAACCTAACAAGAATTCAATTTTTAACCAAGTTACCTCCCTTACATAAAATTTTTTACAACATCGAAAAAATTTTTAAATCACTGTTTGTGACCGGAATTGTTAACAGTTAACACAAAAGCAAAATTTTTTTTCGGACAAACACAATTATTTGCTTTAGCCATCATAACCCTGAAGATGATACTTAAATATATCGAAATTACCCGGAAAAATAAAAATTAATGTTGGAGAGTTTTTGTCTTTATTTTCTCCCGAAATTAAAGCAACTATACGAAGCTTAGATAGGCTCATAATCAAACATAATGGACATTCGTTGTCTGTTATATTTAACAATATATGTTTAAATAGTGATCTTATGCCCCAATACACTATATATATATATATATATATATATATATATATATATATATATATATATATATATATATCAACAGCCCCTATCTTTGCCGCTATCCTTCATTTATTTAGATATGTTCTATTAAACAAAATGGACGGTTAATGTCTGTTAAGCCTTTTGGAGAGATTCTTCTGGTGTCAATAAGTTGTTTGATATCAAACGGAAACTTGTAAAGGAACTTTCTAAAATTCAATTTTAAGGCCACGGTACTTTGGGGCATTGTTATTCGCATTCAATAAAAGACTGAAAGTGTATAAATAGCCAGTGAGAAGTTTATACACTTATCAGTTTAAAGGTTGAAATGAAAGGTAGCTTCACCTGACAACGAGAGTCCGAATAATGTCGAATATAACAAAACATTATTTAAGAAGCTTTGTTTTGTCTTGTACAAAGACATGTGTTGTATTTTGTGGCTTAAGCGATTTCTCCACCTATGTACTGATTACAATTGGCGTGGTTTAACTTCAGTAATCATCGGAGAACCGATGCTTTCAGCATGAATTGGCCATAAACCAACCCCGACATTTTCCTTTATCATTCTTCTAATTGATTTCATTCGCTAACTCTATTCTTTCTTTTTCGCTTTCTTCTGCTCTTTTTTCTTTTCTTTTTTTTTTCTTCTTCCTTTTCCTTTAATTTTCCTCTTTTTCACTTTGTTTCTTTCTTTTCCATCATCTGTTTCTCTCTTTTTTCGCTTCTCTTTTTTTATTCTGCGTTTCTTTTGTTGGTTTCTTTTATTCTGATTTGAATCTATTTCCAATTACAGTATTTCTTTCTTTCTTTCTTTCTTATGTGTTCTTTCACGCTATTTCTTTCTTATTTGGTACAACGTATTTCTCTTCTTTCTTTTTTTCTTCGTTTCCGCTGTTGGTTGTTTTTTGTTTTTTCTTATTTGAATCTCTATCCCATCACATTCTTTCTTTCCTTCCTTCTCTCTTTTGCCATTTTTTTCTTTTTTGGATCTCTACCCCATCACATTCTTTCTTTCCTTCTTTCTCTCTTTGTGCCCTTTTTTTTCTTATTTGAATCTCTATCCCATCACATTCTTTCTTTCCTTCTTTCTCTCTTTGTGCTCTTTTTTTCTTATTTGAATCTCTATCCCATCACATTCTTTCTTTCCTTCCTTCTCTCTTTTGCCATTTTTTTCTTTTTTGGATCTCTACCCCGTCACATTCTTTCTTTCCTTCTTTCTCTCTTTGTGCCCTTTTTTTTCTTATTTGAATCTCTATCCCATCACATTCTTTCTTTTCTTCTTTCTCTCTTTGTGCTCTTTTTTTCTTATTTGAATCTCTATCCCATCACATTCTATCTTTTCTTCTTTCTCCCTTTGCGCTCTTTTTTTTCTTATTTGAATTTATATCCCATCACATTATTTCTTTCTTTCCTTCCTTCTTTCTTTGTGCTCATTTTTTTCTTATCTGAATCTATATCCCATCACATTCTTTCTTTCCTTCCTTCTCCCTTTGTGCTCTTTTTTTCTTAATCCTGTCTATTTTTTCGTTTCCTTTGTTGCCTTCTATCTCTCTTATTTGCGTCTATTTCCCATCACACTATTTCTTCTTTATTTCTTTACTTTTGTTCGTCTATTCATTTTTTACTCTTTCTTTTCGTCTTTGCTTCTTTCTTTATTTTATACTCCTTTACTTTCTTCTTTTTCTCTTTCTTTATTTTTATTCATGTGGCACATATCTCACTTTTTCTTATTCCTTCTATATTTTTTTTTAATGATCGAATAAAATACTCCTGACATTTTCGTTGTGTGAATATGAATACAGCCTCAGTGGACAACTATGGCCGCCATATCGTCTGCATCTTCCCGTCATAAATAAGACCTTAAGGAGGAAATATTCATACCTTTATACTCTCAATAGAAGCAAAACTTCAGACAGACGATCAGCAACGGTCATTAAGGAGTAACAAATTAAATAATCAACAACTGTGAAATGATACGTAAGGGAAATAGACAAACAACAAGAAGTAAAAAAGGTACAAAACAAAGAGAAAGACTCATTTGATGCATTTATCGAAATAATATCGCCAAATGAATATGCTCACGTGTGAGAGTCTTCACGCGGCCATCTTGCTGACGTTTATAAAACACGAAACGCTTAAAAAAAATTCAAACACAATAGCTGAAATGTTCTCCGACATCATGACCGAAAGTATTCCTATAATTTCATAATACGCATCCTCATTTTTATTGTATTGATCAACGTAGGTTTTCTTGTTGGTTTTTTCCTCTGAAATCCTGAAACAATCTAATGTTATTTTTATTCATTATTCAGATTAAGGTATTTATCATGGTTGAAGAAAGAAAGAAAGAAAGAAAGAAGGCAGGATTAGAAAACGGAAAGTCAGAAATGAAGGAAAAAGAGAAAATAAAAAGAAAGTAAGGATTAGAAAAATGAGAGTAAACAAATTAAGAAAATAGATTAGAAAGAAAGAAAATAAAAAGTAAGAAAGAAAGAAAGTATTAGAAAAAAGAGAGTCAAAATGAGGAAAAAGATAATAAAAAATAGAAAGAAAGAAAGAAATTAATTAAGGAAAAATCAGAGTAGAAATGAAGAAAAGAAAGAAAGAAAGAAAGAAAGAAAGAAGGAAGAAAGAAAGAAAGAAATGGACCAAGAAAGAATAACAGGAAGAAGAAAAAGTAATATAGAAAAGAAAGGAGTATAGAAAAGGAAGAAAAATAGATTCGAAAAAGAAAGAAAGAGATTAAAAGAAAGAAAGAAAGAAAGAAAGAAAGAAAGGATTAGAAAAAGAGGAGTCAAAAATAAAAAAGCGATTAGAAAAATGAGCGAAAAAGATGAAAAAGAAAGAAAGAATTTGCCATGAAACAAAGTAACAAGAAAGACGAGTAAAAAGAAGAAAAGGTAATATAGGAAAAGGACAGAGAAACTGAACAGGTGACAGTCAAAGGAAAAGGAAGAAAGAGAATAGACACTACCAAATAAAAAATTGAAGAAATATGTAAAGGAAAAGGCAAGAAAGAAAGAAAGAAAGAAAGAAAGAAAGAAAGAAAGAAAGAAATGTATAGATGAAGAAAGAAAGATAGAAAATAAAGAAAAGAATACAAATAGAAAAACAACGAAAACTGAGAACACGAAAGAAAAAGGAAGAAAATAAGTAAAAAAAGAAAGAAAGGAATAAAGAAATAAGGGAAAATCAAAAGACACTGAGCGGTAAAGTACGAAAATAAAATAAAGTTATAGAATACAAGTGAGAATCATGTTTAAATACGTTTTACGGACAACCAATAGAATAGTACAGATTTTCGGTCAGATAACATAGCTGATTCCAGCTCACAAGCGCCACACGTCGGGCTCATATTAGATTTTACACTCGGATTCTGAATAGAAACGATCGCATACAAACAAGTAGTACAATACGAGTGCTGAAAATTTATTGGTCTTAACTACCTTCCAAAATCTGGCCAAATTTGATTTTTTTTTTCAAGAGATTGTTGGACGGACCGAAGGCTTTTTAGTGATTAGTAAGCTAGTCTTGCAGGCCATTACAACTGTAATAATTTCGTACCTTAACAAGTGCTCCGTATTTGTGGGCTTGTTCCAGACTAATCTACTCTTCATAAATGCATATCAGTGTCTCGCACAAGAATTGGTACTGTAATGACTTTGGTCTTCACTCCGTTCTCCATACTTATAGACTTCTAACAGATACTATTTGGCTGCTCGTTTTCAAGTATACCCGTCTACTATAGTAGGAAGTTAATCTCTGTTAAGAAGGCCTAATCAGGTACATTTTTGTTTCCTGTGGTTTATACTGAAACTATGTTGAGTGGGCCTTAGTGAGAGTTTCTGGATGAGAGCGTACAGTCTGGCGTGATTAGTAGTTGAACAAGGCTAGAATGAACAAAACCTCAGTGACGATGACTTGTAAATTTGTACTAGCACAGTCCTCAAAGACTTCTAAACAGTTTTTTCTCAACCCAATTTCACTCACAAGGCTTTGGATAACCCGCGATATGGTTTACAGTCAGTTGCCGGCACGCTGGGATCGTTATTATAAAAAAAAAATATTCTCCTTGACAAATGATCATGATGAGATTCGAACCCAAGTCTCATGACCAAAATGCTAATATTCAGATCAATCGTCCACCCTCCCCTATTACCAGGCTAAACTAGGCTTTGTAAATATCTATTGATTTGTGAGGAAGTTGGAAAAAGCAAAATACAAACCAACATTTCAGTTTCAATCTTACTCCTTTTCTCGCACTTTTATACGGCACGACTTACGGCAGAGATTGATATTGACCCTAATCCTTCCATAGTACCAAGGAAGGCATGGCCTGATAGAAGAGAACTTCTAGTAACTAAACATTATTCTCCAGACGAGCTTCTTGCATAAGGGAAAAGTCTTGTTTTGAGTGATGAATAGCCAGCAAAACTAGAAAAGTAGGTGTAAGACCACACCACAAAGAGGGTCAACTTCTGAATGGATGCTTTTCAGACTCAACAAATATTTACCTACAAACTCAAGTAAAACTCGAACAATTTTTACCTATAAACTCAAGTATAACACAAGAAATATCTACCTAGAGACACTAGTGTATGTCTGACCAATTTTTATCAATAGACTCAAATATAAACACGACCTTTGTTTACTTATAGACACAAGTATAAACCCAACCAATGTTTACCTGTAGACTCAGGTATAAACACGACAATATTTATCTACAAAGTGAACTAAACATTATTTACATTGTTCGAACTGTTGTACTCGTCTTTATTGGCATATTCATTTCATTGTACGCTCCGGCCTTTTTCGTGCGATATGTTGGAATTTCAAGCCGAAACATTTACTTTGTTCACTGGGGTAGTTTGTTCTAGTTCCACGTGACATTTCCTTTCTAGTTATCTCAGTTTCAACACAATTCTCCACGAATTTTGTTCATCTCTGCTGTGGACAGGTATTGAACTCAATCCTTTGGATCAAGTCACTGGATTACTTCAACCAATGCTATTATCCACTGAAATATTTTCATCCACTATAACGCTGTGAATATGACAATAAAGATGAAGGACAACAATCCGAACAATGTAAATACAACATCTCATCTCAGAAAAAGAGACAGATGTTGAAGGTGAATATGGCAATAAAGATGAGGACAACAGTCCGAACAATGTAAATACTGTAAATAGCTACAATACCTCATCTGAGAAATAGAGACAGATGTTGAAGGTGAATATGGCATTAAAGATGAGGACAACAATCCTAACAATGTAAATAGTGTAAATAATTACAATACCTCATCTCAGAAATAGAGACAGATGTTGACGGTGAATATGGCAATAAAGATAAGGACAACAGTCCGAACAATGTAAATAGTGTAAATAGTTACAATACCTCATCTCAGAAATAGAGACAGATGTTGAAGGTGAATATGCCAATAAGGATGAGGACAACAGTCCGAACAAGGTAAATAGTGTAAATAGTTACAACACCTTATCTCAGAAATAGAGACAGATGTTGAAGGTGAATATGCCAATAAGGATGAGGACAACAGTCCGAACAAGGTAAATAGTGTAAATAGTTACAACACCTCATCTCAGAAATAGAGACAGATGTTGAAGGTGAAGATGGCAATAAAGATGAGGACAACAGTCCGAACAATGTAAATAGTGTAAATAGTTACAATACCTCATCTCAGAAATAGAGACAGATGTTGAAGGTGAATATGGCAATAAAGATGAGGACAACAGTCCGAACAATGTAAATAGTGTAAATAGTTACAATACCTCATCTCAGAAATAGAGACAGATGTTGATGGTGAATATGGCAATAAAGATGAGGACAACAGTCCGAACAATGTAAATAGTGTAAATAGTTACAATACCTCATCTCAGAAAGAGAGACAGATGTTGAAGGTGAATATGCCAATAAAGATGAGAACAACAGTCCGAACAATGTAAATAGTGTAAATAGTTACAACACCTCATCTCAGAAATAGAGACAGATGTTTAAGGTGAATATGCCAATAAAGATGAGAACAACAGTCCGAACAATGTAAATAGTGTAAATAGTTACAACACCTCATCTCAGAAATAGAGACAGATGTTTAAGGTGAATATGGCAATAAAGATGAGGACAACAGTCCGAACAATGTAAATAGTGTAAATAGTTACAATACCTCATCTCAGAAATAGAGACAGATGTTGATGGTGAATATGGCAATAAAGATGAGGACAATAGTCCGAACAATGTAAATAGTGTAAATAGTTACAATACCTCATCTCAGAAATAGAGACAGATGTTGAAGGTGAATATGGCAATAAAGATGAGGACAATAGTCCGAACAATGTAAATAGTGTAAATAGTTACAATACCTCATCTCAGAAATAGAGACAGATGTTGAAGGTGAATATGGCAATAAAGATGAGGACAACAGTCCGAACAATGTAAATAGTGTAAATAGTTACAATACCTCATCTCAAAAATAGAGACAGATGTTGAAGGTGAATA